ATACTGAGACTTTATTTATTTATTTTTTCCCCTGTCGTCTAGGGAGCGTGGCACCAAGGGGACGACTGATTACAGCTATGTTGTGGGGTTTTACCCTGAGAGGCAAGGGAGAGGTAAAAGCTGGAATGTTGTTTGGTTTACAGGCTGGGCTGCTTTTCTAGCAGAGCTACGGCTCCTGCAGTCGCCCAGCTTTGCACCGAGTCCCTGCGCTGCGACAAACAGGGAAATAATATTTCAGAGAATGAGATGGGCGTGGGATTTTATTATTTTTTTCCTCCCCTCTCCCTAGTGGGGAATGCAACCTTTGAACTTGGATGGGCTCCTTTATCTGATGTGCTCGAAGCTGGAAAAGTCGGTGCCCTTTGATTATCGCGAAGGGCACGTGGTTTTGCGTTCGGTTTTCCCCTCTCAATTGATCTTTGTTTCAGTTGTCTTGCGCTCCGGGTGAAAACCTCTGATGCTTCGCTGTACTCGCAGAGAGGAACAGAAACACACAATACGCCGGCTCCACGGCCCGCTTGGGTGTCGTGGTCTTCAGGCATCAGAAATATTTATTCTCTTCTTTTCCAGTTACAGAGATAGGCCGGCTCTGAGGTAGTGGAACTCTGGGGAACGCTGAATGTTACTTAAAAAAAAAAAAAACGACAAAAAAACAAACCTAAAAATCTCTCCACTGTATTTCACCCAAAAAAGAGCCAAAGGCAGTGAGGACTTGCACCCTACTGCCCTGATTTATTCTCCACCTGCTCTAAACTGGAGTTTTCACTTGTGCTTTTTTTCTTATCCTATATTTTTCCTTTTTTCCCCGAACTGATCTGTGCTCCTCAGCTTCAGAAGTTTTGAAGGGCTTACTAAGAAGTAGGAAAGCACAGTTTAAATTCTTTCAGTCTAGGATTAAAATACAGGCCGAGCGGACGTCACGGTGGCTGCCTGGCTGGGCTGGATTTTTCCGTCCAAACAGAGGAGAAGAATGTTGCCACCTCCCCTCAAAAATAACAAACGAGGGTGCTGCTGTGCGAAAGCCGAGGGTTTGGCCTGGGGAGGAGGCAAGAGGCTCCTGACCTGTCACGGTTGAGGTAGTGATTACATTTGGAAGGAAGCTAAATTTTTCCAAGAAAGGTTAATTAGAAAAACGACAGCATCGCTGTGCACTGGGATTTAATTGCACAGAGCTGGGGGGTGAAGCGCTGGCCGGTGCCTTCTTGGGTGGAGGTGACCTTGGAGCCTGCAAAGGGTCTGACGTATAAAGATGGTAACAGGGTGGAATTTTAAGGAGTAGTAGGTAAAGCTGTAAGAACACTCTTAACCTTTACTTCTTCCTCCACTACACCCCTCTTGCTGTATCCTGAACCCCAGGCAGAGCTCTGAATCCGTGGTGGGGAGCTGTGGGTTGTATCGGTTTGGCAGGGCTTGGCTTGAGATGAAGATGGTTCTGTCGCACATACGGACGTCGCGTGGGTGCACGGGGAGAAGAGCTGGGTGATCTCGCCCTACGAGCTCATCCCTTGGCTCTGCTCGCCCCCGTTCTCGCTGTGTGCTCAGCAAAAGCACCCTGGACATGGCGCTTTTTAAAAGCCAAGGGCACAAAGCTGCTGGGTTTTCAACACGGGGTCGGCGTGACAAGCCCTGAGTTGGGGGGACGGGACCCTCAGTAAAGGCCACCAGGCCTCATCACGTCCCCGTCGAGCCACAGTGGTGTCTGCAGGCGCTTGGACGCGCGAGTTTGGGGTTTACTCGGAGCAGTGGGATGAGTCTCACGCCTCCCGCCTGCAGCTTGGAGGGTTGGAAACCAGGGATGTGCTTGTGCTGGCCTAGAGCAAAGCTGGAAGCGGGGATGACTTCTCGTGGGCTACCAGAAATAGATTATCAGCCTTTCACTCCAGGTGCTCCTTTCTAGGCTTTTTTCTTCTCTCTTCTTGCTGTTGTCTCAAGAAAAAAAAACCTCTGTGTCAGTACAAGCTCTGGAGGAGTCCTGCGTCCCGTGAGGTCAGCTCACCTGAGTCTATTTTTATTTTTGAACCGGTGTACAACGTGTGGTGGAGAAACAGGGAAGGAACAGCACAGCTTGCACCCTTGCCCCGTGTCTGCCTCTGCTTTTGGCTTCGGCACGGAATAAATATTGGTGGTTTTTATCAGCGTCACTGTCCTGGCGTGCTTTATCCCTCAGCTTAGTGCTTCCCTCCTGCTGGTTCTTTGCAACAACATGTCCTCAACCTGGAGATGCTCCACAGAGGGCCTCCTGTGGAATCGCAGGTACTTCTCGCCTCAGTCTTGCACCCAGGCCCAGATGCTGCCCGGCACCGTGGGCTGCCCGCCTCAACTTGGACTTTTCCTCTTGCTTTTTTGTCTCGGGTGATGTATCGCTTGTCATCGTGAGGGCGATGACTCCTGCTCCCTCCCAGCCCCGGCTGGTACCTTTCAGCATTCCCGGGGCATAAACCACTGCGGCTTTCTACTGTGCACTGTTGCATGAGCGCATGGATTTGGTTTCTTTTAATTTTCTGAGGTTTTTCCCTTCACTAGGCTAGATAATAAATGCTCGAGGAATAACTGGGGAGGCCTTCTTCACATTGGAAGTGCTGATAGTAGATTTTTATGACTTTCTTTGAGGGCACTGGTGTATGAAGTGCTTTGGTTCTGAGCAGAATTCAAGCAGTGAGTCCTCTTTGGGTGGCTGCAGAAGAACTTGCTGCTTGATCACCCAGCCCAGGAGCCGAAGTCGCCTTCCCCTCTCTGTGCTTGGCTTGCAGACTTCAGAGCTGGCGTGAGTTTGTCCGTCAAAGCTGCCACCCAAGGATGAGCTCGCTCTTCTAGCATCGGCGCTGAGCGTTCGTTCCCCTTCCCGTGAGTTAGGCAAGACGTGGAAGAGATGCCACAGCCTTGCAGGGGGCCTTGAGAAGGCGAAAGGCAAAGGGTCATTGTAGGAACTCAACAGGACTTGTTGCATTTGAGGAGGGAAACGCAGAAATTGGGAAATCCTCTTTATGGCTGCAGGGGTTTAACTTGCCGAACACGTTTGAATCTTGCTCATCCTCCGAGGCAGATAAGCCGAGGAAGTTGTCTCTGCTCTGTCTTATGTTTAATTCACTCCTTGTCAGAGATGCCTGGGTACCACGGGACACTAACTGCAAAGGCAGACACTTGCAGATTTATTCAGTTTTTTGCTGCAGAGTTTGATTTGGGGCCAAAAGCTCTTTATTTCCCAGAGTATCTTGGAGACGCTGTCAAATGTCGCCTTCCCTCCCTGTTCCCTGTCTCGCCACCTCATCCCTCCCCACGAGGAGCGAAGGGAGTGCTCCCGTAAGGCGTGTGTCTCAGTGGTGCTTTTCTACGATGAGATAAGGTCAAATGCTGCCAGATTGGCAAAAAGAGAATAACAGCCCAGGCCTAAGTGCACAGGCCAGTTCCGTAGTCTGATCTGGCAACCCTATAAACCCAGTTAGAGAAGGTAAGTGCGCTGAGCGCGTTAATCGTGGCTAATCTAATTAACTACAAGCTTCTAAGGCAGCTTTCTTTGCACTTTCAGGAGCAGCTCTGCTTGAGGGGATAATCATCTCGGAAGATTCTTGCTGGGGGTTTACACCAGTGGGGGATACCCCTAAGCTGGCCTGTGGTTTTATCGACGTCGGGGCAGCCCGTCTGTAACGCGGGCAGGAAAGAAAACGATCTGTCTCTCTTTCACCCCCCAAAAGGTTGGAGAGGTGGTTAATCTGGGTGTTTGCTGTTGTTTTTTTTTCCTAGGTGCGTGTTACTATGACGCCAACCAGTCGATGTACGTGTTCGGTGGCTGCACGCAGAGCAGCTGCAACGCCGCCTTCAACGACCTCTGGAGACTTGACCTGAATAGCAAAGAGTGGATCCGGCCGCTGGCGTCAGGTGAGCGGTG